GCTCACAAGGTTTCGATTAGTTCATCCGGTACCTTTATATAATTTATATATAATAAAGACGTATTTGATTATTGAAAAAAATATTGATCGTTTCTCTAGCTAGGTAACTGTGAAGTCGCGTAGGATTAGCGTTAATATCTTTTAGAAGCTGAAATTTCATAGTAGTAGGCGTATTGTAATGCTTTGATTTAGACTTGGGATATCGCGTTTTGAAAAATACAGTTTCTACAAACATTCTCATTGTGGTACGATAAACGCACAAATGCTACGCAGGTTCACAAAGGGTTTATGTTGCTTATAGCCCTGGTGTGTACTCAAAATTAACGGCCCAAAGAGAGCTGTGTCACTTTCATACTGTAAATTTTCCTGTGAAAAATGGTCTTTGTAGTGGCCGATCAGAGACATCGGTCACTGCGAAAAAAATCAATTAAATGATTGCAAAAGTAGAGCAAGACATATGTGAACGGTCATGACGTCGCCAAAGAACTAATTGTCTACCACCAGATAGGTCATTTCAATCATTTGAAGGGAGCTGGTTATAAAAAAAAAGTGCTCGACGTTTGGGTGTTACCCGAAGCGGTGCGAGACTTTACCCTGTTGTAATTCCACCTGTAAAGTTCCCTAAGAACGTAGCCACTTCTAAAGTGATTCCGAACTATTTTATTACGAATGTCGAAAATTAGATAGAAAAATAGAAAACATAATGTGCAGACAGAACATTTTTACAGAAGTTCCTTGACGCTATTAGCTTAACTTCAATGGCTGGATGACGTAATCACTTGTCTAAATCGTTCGCAGCGATGCGATTTTAGTATTGCCAGGAAAATGCGAAACATTGCCCATCTTTAGCCTGGATATATTATTTTAAAATTAAAAAATATCTGCTTCAGTTTTTTGGCTGAAAAAGCGCCAATATATTTCCGTAAAGAAGTAAAAGTAGCTGATATGATAGTAATCAACATACTAAATAATACAATTAGTTAAGCAATCATAATTAAGCAATTAAACAAGGCTGGTTGGTTAGGGAATCGTAAAAGTTGTCATCACCATTTCAATGCCCTTCTTCAATGGAACATGAACAAGCGTTGCTTCGAAAAATACTATACAGCAGTATCTCTACATTTGACGTTATACCAAAACCGTATTTTGTGGAAATGGTTCGGAGACATGCCGTATTGTCAAGAGCATCTAAGCACAAATCAGAATAATTTGTATTAAGAGCAGCCGCTCCAAGTCGATCATTCATGTGATTTTCGTAACAGCAAACAAAAGGTGTAAGGACCTGGTTCTGTACTTTTGTCTGTTTGATTCGTCTTTAAATAGTTGGCCTTGATTGTTAACTAATCAATTACGGATATTCACATCATTATTTCAAATGATCCATCAACGAATGTAATTTCGTAATGGTATACATACGAGGCAATTACATCAACCCCCTATTTTCATGCTCATTATTAAGCTTCAAAGTATATTTTAATGGAGTTTTATTTATAATTTAATGTTAAAAGTACACGTAAAACCCATACGAACTCAATCCATACGTAAATCCATCCTGTTTTAAATCGAGATAATCTATGTCTTCCTTCGGTAACTGACAGCAATCTCTTTAAGCGAGTACATTAGGCCCATTCCGATTCTTTTGTGGCTTCTGTCCCTGCTGAACTTTCACCTGCCATTATTACTTCTTGTCAACACCTGGCCAATTCCAGAACCTAGGACGTTGTGAAGGACTTCATAGCGCAAAGATTGTTAGTCCAGCCAACGATGCTAATACCACAGCTTATTGTTATGATGTACGCTATCTTTCTCAAAATCCACTCTAGAAGCACTTAATAACAGCCGGAGATCTTTCCTTCAGTAAAATCCACCCTTTCCTGGTTGTTGTGGTAGTTATATCGGCGGCTCGACTACTCATCTATTCCGGTACCGTTATTCGCCGCCTTTTGTCTTTTTGTGCCTTATCCCTTTCTCCTATCTTCACTCGGTCTTACTGCGGCAACAGCTTCTTTGCTGCTTCCGCAAAACTTGCTGTTTCAACCCCGCAATCTTCCGCAGAGTTTCCATCAGCGGCGTTGCTAAGTTTGCCATGAAGCATTAGCGCTCTAAAAAGCACCGCTCGTTCTACGCTCCCTCTTCTCCCTATACCCTAGGTTCTTCAGCCAGATGCTATCGTTGGTGCTCACAGACGAAACTGCTCTCAGAGTGTAACAGACTCTGGTGCCACCGACGCGATAAGTCAGAGTCCATCCGCGTGTTGACGTTTGGGGGAGCTAGCCATAGCAGTCGACGGATGGCTACCCACATACTGACTAACTACATTCGTTAATCTTAGTTGTTCTCGCTTACGACGAAAAACGCGGCGAGGCCTGGAATAAGGTGACGTTCCGGCTGAAGAAGATGTCGAGGAAAACAAGGAACCAGCAAGAGATCGAGCACCAAAAAGACCTAGTGATGGTTGAAGGCGAACATCTTTAATCGAGCCGGAGGAAGGAGTAACAAGACGATCTAGAGTAAACTAACGACCACAACTTTCTCCAGCTGTGTTACTGCTTCCGTAAGTGCCGCAGAAGACGCCTCTAACAAGGGACATGTCTTAAGAAAAAAAAAGTGCATTGAGGGCACTCAATTAAGAACTAGCGGCTGTAGCAGAGTAACTAGAAAATAGCCGGGTTTTTAGAACCTCACTACAACTGGATGGGATGGGGCGAACTTGTGCAGTGGGTTGGGTTAGCGAGCACATGCCATTTGCTGCTGCTGACTGAGGGCGAAAGAACAGAACGTATACCGCAGCGTAGCCGATCGGGATAGCGAGGATCATGAAGGCTTCCGGAGGCTTCGTCACATAAAGATATACTTGCTTTCCTCACTCTTGTCATTGATCTCGACCAGCTGTTGTCAGTTTGGCCTCAATAGTTCCTGTTTAAAAAGTCCTAACCGCGCCAAATCTCTGCTATCTAACTGGTGGAGGTACGTATAAAGGCGCGAAGTCATTGATAAAAATGCCCCTGTCTAAAAACAGGATCCTGGTAGGTGAAATAAGAAGCTGTCCAGTTTGGGATCAGCTGCTGTCAATGTTTGTTAGAAGTAAGCTAGATCAAAGAAACAACTAATTGCGATTCAGTTGTATTATCATATTGAGAAAACGCACAGGTTAAATAGAGTATGTTGAGATTACCAGAAACAAGAGCTTCAATAGGTATAAATAAGTATCGAGAAAACACCACTAACAGATGGTTGGTATAACTAATTACTGAAGACTAATATCAGAGTCAGCGTGGGATCGCTGACATGGATACAGGAAGCTAGTGAAAGCGGCCATCCTAATTCGACCTAATTTGATCCATGGTAATGGAGGGTAATGGCCTATTCCCGACAACTTTGTCTGTCATGATTACAGGTTCGACTGGATTTTGCAGTATATAATAATTACGTCAGGCTTTTGATGCCTCAAGAGCTTTGGTATCTTAGAAAACACATACGCCTAGGTACGTGCGTACAAGTTCAGGTATTTTTTAAATTTAATTTAAAAAGACCTTAATTATGACAAAAAGGTACGGGGAAGAAATTTGCGACGGAGAGTGATAGCACACTCTCTAGCATTTTTTTTTTTCAAAACTCTTTGAAATGGTTTCGAGTCGACGTTCACGCTATCACGCCTGTCATCATATTCCGGTGAAGTTTGTGAATTAAAAAAAATTTCATCGTCTTTACATTATTACTGTTTATAGGGACGTTCCATACAAGGAATTAACAAGTTTGTATGATATCGATGACGAGTGTCAACAGTTGTGCTGTGTATTGTTATACGTTCCTACTATAGATGTGCCAGATTGGATACAGCAGGACTGTGTTTCAAAGGACGATCGTTTCCTTCAGACAAGGAGCTCGTCTAGGCACATAGATTACTATATTGGATTTTACACTCGTTAAACGCATAAGTTAACTATACTGAATAAACTTCAAGCAGTAGTAAATCGCAAATTGGTTTCTATCAGTTACTCGAACGTCGGTTTCTATTGAGAAGGTCACAGATGTCGGCTCACGGCCTGTTTCGGAAAATCCTGAAAAACAATCTATCGTGATCTCGACCCCATGGTCCGCCCTCATTAAGCACAGTATCGTGGTGCCTCATTCGAGGTGAGGCGTTACTCACCTTTGTCACGAACCACATTATTTAGTCTAAAACAGCCGCTGGGAAAATCTGTCGGCTTTAAGCAGAAGCTTGTGGGTGTCAGGACAATAAGTCCGCGCAGTCGATGCATGAATTTTTTCCTGCATGTTTTACTAGCAGTCGATGTAAGCTTGCGCAAATCACTGTTGTAACCTAGGTTGTGAATTGAAATTTGGCGAGTTCATGGGAACGCTAATTTCTCATATCATCCCATCAGTATGAGACAGATTTGGATGTCGGTGGTATAAATAAAACCTGCGATATCTGCGGAACTTACCTAAAATACTTCCATAATTTCGATAGGACTAACTTGTCCCCATTTATGTATATGTAATTAGTCGCCCCACACTGTAAGCCTACATATTCTGCATTATTAATAACAGCCGGTTACACTATTAGACGTTACAACATCTTAAATAGCATATGCATTTGGTGCACAGTTTGACAATATGTGAAAACTACAAAATATCCGCGTGAGACCAATTTGTACTATAAAAAAAAATCTAAACAGGACATATTAAGATCGAGTCCTCGGCTCGTGTGAGATAACGGAGCTTTTATACACCACGTAGTTGACAGTTACCAAAAAACCACCATGAAAAGTGCGGAACAATCAAATTGGACGTATGTTTATTCTTTACAATTGAATTTTTCGCGTTTGACCATACGTCTGTAATTATCCATAAATTAACCCCCTAACACAAGCACACACATCGATTAACTGGTACTTACAGGTGCACCTATGTATATGTAATACATTTACTGTTTTCTCTACCGCTGTAGGGGTATGGGACGTAGATGAGACTAGCGGCGACGAAGAAATGCTTACCGGGGTTTGAAGACCGATTGGCCGTTCAGAAATCAGCGCCATATCCGGTGATCAGGACCTGTATCCCTGGAAATTATAGGCAACAATCGATGGCCGAGTTATCCATGTTTGGTTATCGACGACACACGACACCGGTAACTGTATTTGAGCTAATTCCAGCGACGACGGCTACTACTTACTAGGGTACACGCAGGTACCACTTTGACTAACGGATATCCTGCAATACAATGAGATCGAATAAGTTGCGGCACAAACTGGTGAAATGCTGAAATTTGCTGTGAGAAAAAAATACGCGTACCTCGATTCTGCCTCGAAATAATAGGGTAAAAGCATTCGGCGCCTAGTAACTGGATGGCTCAGGCAATATGCGCGCAATTTTCGGATTTTCCTGGGAGAGCAATAAACTGAGGTTTGACACTAGGCACACATTGTCTTTCTAGTCTCGTAGACGAGTTCTCTTATGGTCTTCTCCGTTTTCAGGCACCACATAAATGACAACCGCGTCATAGTCACACGGCCATATTTCTATTCTAGATGCAGGTAAGCTGCAAGCCTTGTCGATGCGTGCACGACCCAGATGTCTGTTCATTGCGTAAGAAACAACGAAATAGTGGCCTAGAATTTTTTACGTTTTGGTTCTCTCTCGTCTTCTGCTTAACTATCGTGATATTTTCTGATACACCTCCTGTCAACTCCGTCTCTGTTGTTCTTTCTGTGCACTGACAGTACGCGAATCTCATTTCCGATCTTGACAGATCGAGAAACTAACTGCTATACAGACTACGCGTAGGCGATAATTATTCGTCTGTGCGCCGTATCTGTCCTCGCGACGAGTAATGCTTCAGCGATTCACCAGTATAACTAGTGCCAATATAGCCAGTAGTAGGCCATAGCCGCAACAGGTCTGTGGCTGCAATCTGCTAATCATTTGATCCACTTATAACATGTCTAGTTACAATGGTATCTTCCTCTATCGAAACCGTCGTGAACGTTTCAGACAGTGTCCATAACAAGAGGCACAGCCTACTGCCTGTTTGGGTGGTTAGATCGCTACGATGCAGGCTGTTCTCGTCACTGTCCTTAATGTAGAATGGAACGATAGACATAAAGAGGAGGAGGATACACGGCGGAAGCGGCACTAACTCAACTGTTGATAGACAAACCTATTAACACCCCGCAAGGTTCTGGGGCACGTAGAATACCGTCAGGAGGTAGAAGCCGTCGACGGTGAGGTATAAGCTGCCCAGATCGAAACCGAGGCTACGTATGTAGAATGTGTGCGCAACCTGGCAGTTCATTACGAACACTCCTCGTCTGAACACCGTTGTAGCGGGCTAATTCGCAGGCTTCTTGTAATGCTGTGTCCAGCTTCTCAGCTCTACTTGCACCCACGAAAGCTGCTTGTCGGTCGGATGTAGGAAGCCGTTGTAACAACAACCAGCGAAAAAGTAACTGCGGTCTACAGAAAGCCCACAAGACTGGCAGGTGCAACGGACAATGCGGACGATTGAAAGGCTCTCCCCATCTGTCAAGGAACTCTGCATAGGATAACGTATGCAGTAACCGCCGCAGAGCTTTTTTGCTATATAGTTAAGAGAGGGGCCGTATTGTAACACGTATGTACACGGATTAGATATAATTATAAGTACAAAAAAGTGTTTTCGGAATACTTTTTGGGTAGCTAATAAAATATGGAGCTGTACCGTGTGCTAGAGGAAGCCTTAAATATTGATGAAGGTACTATGGAATAGGTGGCTGGCTATCACGATTTCGTATTTGCTGAGAAATTTTGAACTTCAATATTATAGTGTATATATCGAAACTTAGTAGGACTTAGACATGGCAGCAAAAAAAAAGCCGATATTGATTTTATGGAGACGTGCCTCAAAAATCCTCAGTAAATTCAATTTAAAAAATTTCCACAAGGATGTCAAAGATAGGTCATCTGCATTATTTGTTTCCAAGGCAGGTATTATAGGCTACCTTCTTTTAGAGGCCTTCGAGAATGTGGCCTTTGCCGGGTTTCGTCGGCTCAGTTCTCGTTTTCAGCATAGATGCCGTTCACGTTGAAATGAAAGGTTTCGTTGAGTTGACAAATCGCTATCACTAGTATAGGCTAGCCGAGTTTAACTTATGGATATTCTAAGTTTATTTACGTCGTCACGAAATGACCTAGCTCCATCTGGAAACCAAAGTATTGCTATCAGAAGAGAACTTCAGACAAATACTGCTGAGGTCCTAAAGTAGCAGAAGATACGGTAATCAAATTGTCTCTGTACGTCCGTCAATCTAGCGAGTCACAGAAAGACCTTAGTATTCAACTGCTCCGCCCTCTTTATATACTCTATTTGCTGTGTTAGTTTGGACGCGAAATCGTTACGGAAGTTCAGGTCCTTATTCATTTAATTTGAGTTTCTGCAGTTTTCTCTAGATTGTTTTTGTTGGGGCTAGAAATATTTCATAAAATTGCAAGAGTGCGTAAGTGATTTTTAGATGAAGCTGAGGCTAAAAGCAAATTAGCCGTGCAGAAAAAGTAAAAAGCGTGATCGCTGTTCTTCTTTGAAAACCTTTATGGCTGACCACTTGTTACAATGACCTAAATTTAGCAAACTATTCTTGCCGCGCACAAACACACTGTATATCGTTAACCTGTCGACGATTTCTATAAGCCAGGTTATAATGTATTTGCCTGCGTCGCTGGGCTAGACATACAAACAGACATTTTTTTTTTCGATAAAACTTAAGGAAAAGGCGGATGAACACCTTAGCAAGGACAGAGTTTAGAAAATTCGTCTCTCTTCGATTTCAAGAAGACCAGCGTTATCGACCCGCACAACTGTAAACCTGTAAAAGAACATAAACCATATGCCGTCAAATGCTTGTCCTGATCAGCGAAATGCCCAGATTGTATCTTCTGTTGGCAATCAAAGTCTCAGCCACTCTGAAGCGACCGGATTCCTGGCTCAATAACAAACGAATTTTCACCGTTATTCATTTTTTAATTTTTTTACGAATCTAGAGTAGGATATGCAAGACTCCTGGAATATAGTTTACCTGCATTTACACACGAGTTTATTCATTATAAAGAGGTAAAAGTCATCCACTGGATACTTCGGACAACAAATGACCCACCTGCTAAGGTACTACCACATGCAATTTTGCCCATCAACTATTTAGCATGATTTCCCTATCTCGAAAACGTTTGGATGACCAAGTTAGCTTAATTAAACGAAGATAATTGTCATTTCACATCGTCATGTCTTTCTAACGATATGCGCGGGATTTTTAAACGTAAGCACTGCATTTACAAATAAATAAATATTGACCCGATATTTTCTATTGCGAGGTTCAGTTAGTTAAAAAAATGTTAGGCCTATGAGAAAGTAATTTCAATTACTTTTTGACCTGTATATTCTCTATATTTTATAAGATTACTACAAAGGATACCGACCAGATAATTTTAAGATAATGCTCGACGCAAAAAGATATGGTTAAATTTCGGTCAGTCCTCTTCTCTAAAACGAACATATGTGGTGGCTACAATGTGATGTTGTTCACTCGACTGAAACTAGAGAGACTTCTCTTCTATGAGAAATATTGCGAAACGGTAAATGACGAACGTTACTTGAGTCAACTTGTCGTACTAACTGAAGAAGTCGGGGAGAAAAACCTCTGGACAGACCAGGGATGAAGCATAGTCGTCTTGTTTCATGGCAACGTCAGGCCCAACGTCACACTGCTGGTCCTTGAAACTCTAATGGGCCTTAGATGGGAAATTCTTCCGCATTCGGCTCGCAGCCCAGATTCTATTTTCTTGGAAACAAAATTTGCTTCCTTTGTTTACCACCAGGTCAGAACCATACAGGACAGTTCAGAAGTAGCGCCATTTAAAACAGAGGTAAGACTCCAGAAATAAGTGTCTACCATGAATGATCTCTTTTTATTCTTATGAATTCTCCTTTTTCCTGCTGTCTGGACGACAGAGCTAAGCTACGGAATGCTAGCGATGATGATGCCATTTTGTTTATTTAAACAACGTCTACCATAAACACTAATTTTCCAAATGATTAATGGAAGTGCTGCTGTTCTTCAAGTCATCATTGATCATCGACGCATTTGGGTTATGCTTTAGAATCACTGGCATTTTAACTCGATAGAAGGACTTGAGCAATGCCGACCCATTCATAATGACTTTGACGGAAGACAACTTTCGAAAACATACCCCCCCCCCCCCCCACGTAAGTTTGTGAAAAGATGATGGTTCGGGAGAATTGCTCGCGTTGAAACTTTAGTGGGTCTGTTACTGCGATCGGACGAATCTAAATAGATAGAACCCACTCGTTAAAAAGAAATCTATAATAACAATCGTATCTTCGATGTCAAGTAGCTGTAGACTCGCAAATGTTAGTCCAGCGGCTACTATTTATTTTGCACATTTCTTCTTAGGCTCGTCGTAGACACCCTTTTGGCCTTCTATACACTTCTTTTAAAAAATATTTTAAAAAATTTTTAATAATTTCACTCGTCAATGGTACGGTATTAAACAAGGCAACAGAGATTAACGGTGACGTAAGGAACGTAGTTGTCGTATTGAACAAATCTAAGACAAGGATTCTACATCAACTTGCCCCCTCCCCCACAAAGTAACGATTTACCATTCAAACTTGTTACCCAATTGCCATTGCGTTGTGACATGGCACGTATTACGACATGTTTTTGAAATATAGATCATGTTATGAAAAGTAGTTTATTTACGTATGATATGTTACGAACGTCGATAGTTGTAGCACAATTATGAGACCATCTACTTTCATTATGACTTTATCGGATACAGTAATTTACTTCGTAGCTCTCAAAGACTTTTCGAATATCTTCCCCATCATCTTCCAAAAACACACTTTGCATTTGACTGCTCGTAACATGACGCAGTTTTGAAGGGTTGTGCCGGTTTTCCTTGCGGGGTCCTTCGTAGTAGAAATAGTACCGGCAGTCACTTTGCTTGCATCCATACCCTTTCCTCCACTTTGGGCATCTGCCCTTTCCTGCTGCCCTTTCTACCACCTATCCGAAGTCGCAGACTGCGTGGCTGTGTTCGAGGAGCTTACCACGAGCACACGAGGCCCGCATTAATACTGGGACGGGACCACTTGCCGATCCGGTAGACCTCCATTAGCGATGTGGGCATCCTGATGAGTCTCAACTATATGATGAACTAAATGACGAAGCCTGCAACATGCTGCACTCGGTAACCTGCCAGTTGATAAAACGTATTGCGGCAGATAATCCTATTTAGTGATAAGCAGCTACTGCACGTAAAATTCTTCTGTTCGATATATGTTTTTCGATTAAAGTAGTTGAGTTAGATTCGTGTGCGGGTGTATGCTTTCACATTGTAGAAGTCAATCAAAAAGCCAGGCAACATCTCAACCGATCGATGTTACCGTGCTGGTAAGCATTATAGATGGGGAGACGGGACGGCCGATAAACATCGCGCTGCTTCCTTATTAACTGACCAAGTCTGGTCTGGCAAAGGCCTCGGATCAATTACTACAAATCGGAGGACCCTGACCCGTACGTTTTCGCCCGCTCTTCCCTTCTAGACAAACCAGCTGAAGTGGTAAAACGTGGCCGCCTAGTAAACAGCTTGCGCCTTTACAACACGATAACATCTACGCGATACCCACACAGCTGTTACACTCTGCGAATTAGCTGTTGACGTCTGGACGTTCGGTCATCTTGCCTCCGCGTTGAAACGAGTTTTCTATTACTGGCTGGGGTACTAGCGAGAGCAGATTACGCATACAAGCTTGGAAGACAACAAGTTCCCCCGATGTTATAAGATCATCGGTTTCGGCAGTCTGAAGCTTCAGTCGTTTGCTATTCGCGGCAGCGGATTAATCGGAACTAATAATTCTGTGTCTAGCGGAAGTTGATTACTGAAGTGTGCGTTTTTATAGAAGACATAGTGCAAGATATGTGAAGTACGGACCCATAATTTCGGGGACTATCCTATGGTGATAAACTGCCGTGTGCAAGGAGTTAGGCAGTAGCCATATGTGGGCATGCGTCAGTACGTACAAATACGACAGTAACTATCATTGGTTTTACTTATAGCTACGAGGTAAAATTTCAAGTGTAGACGTCAGAAAGGAAGGAATTCGATAGTAAGTGGGAAATCAGAGAATGGCTATGGTATAGCTATTTGTGGTCGTGCTTAGATTCTCCATGTGGTTGAATGGAATTAATAGCCTACATACGACAGGCTCGTTGGTGTTGACACTTTTGCATGTGGACTATGGTGTTTAATTAAATGAGCAGACGTTTTGGTTTCTGTGTACGTAAATAGGAGGAACACTGCTATCGATGTAAACGTGGTTCCTCTACCTGAAACGGTGTTCGATCGACTCAATGCGCCTGTGACGCGTAGTCAGTACTGCATGCTGTAAAGGACATAGACTCATGTACGATTTGCATACTTCCATTCTGAGCAGCTGTCGGAAACGGCTAAACAAGCAGCGACAACCTGGTTAACCAATGTACGTAAAAACTAGTCGTCTTTCCATGATTGAAGTTAGCCTGATTTTATCTATATATCTATATAAGTGTAAGTAGAATATCGTGCGATTTATGAACAGCCGCCATACTACAGTGTTATTTGTTTATGTTAGACTGTGTTTATGATACATCGACACGGAACGACGGAACATCCCTTGAGCAGTCGAAAAGCCTTAATGCATTTCAACTAAATTACTCCAGCAAATTCAGCGAATTTGTACCGTTACCGATTATCTGAACGCGTCTAACTAATCGGATGCACGCAAAATATAGGTTATAACATGCATGAGTAACTTTTTTTTTTGAAACTTTTGTCCCTAGCGCTTTGTAGCTACCTAGTTTCATTTCTAAGGACGAGAGCGCTCCGTACCTACATCATACCCAGGGCGTTCCTTCGCCCCTATGCCTAGCTAGGGACCATCACACAATCCTGACATCACATTAAAATCACTTGTGGCAATAATGATTATCTGGTCTGAACGAATTTCGAAATACGCCTCATCAAAGATGCGGGCTATTCCATCCTAGTTGTATTTGGGATACTGACAAACGCGTCAATTTGTTTGATATTTACGAATAATATTAACTGTTTTATTGTGAATAAAAAATTAATGATACCTTATCAAGTTATTATTACTATAAGGCATATGCTTGTTTTTAGTTTTGTTTCCATATAGTTCTGGAAGTAAGGTCGGTGTCCGCACGTCGCGTACCTGCCGGAGGAATGGATGCCCTGAGTCGCAAGTGGGCCAGCTGTGTGGGGTTAATTGCTTACTTAAGGTCTGCTGGATACGCGGTCTATAGCATGTGGGAAAAGCTATCGACGCTTGTTCTATATCAAAATTTAAATAAAACTAGAGAGCCACTATATTTTCGAATTTACTCATCGATACTCGTAACCTACTCGAGTGATTCTCTAATTTCACATCCGAATTATTTACTCTTCTTGTATAGTGTTATTAATCCAACCAACTAAAACTCATTTACTTAATCGTTCTTTCGTATACATCCAGGACATGCACCAAGATTAAATAACGATAGCAGACCGAAAACAGGCCTAAGCCTAAAATTTGCTAGATTATCTTCTAATTTCTTACTTCTGTTTATTTTATGTTACTCTAAATCAGCTCATTTAGCAACGTCCCATCCCTGAAATGACCGAAAACTATCAGTTGTAAGCCAAAGCCATAAAAAATACTACAGGCACTTAAGCCTGTAAGAGCGCGTGTTGTTCCATGTATGCGTCGATGCGCCGGAAAACCGACGTACAAATCGCGGCACCGGCCGCAAAAATCTGCTTTGAACATCACCGTCTCGATGATTACTATACAAAGGTTTAAGACGATCCCCGGAGCGGTCTCTACTTTTATAGGAGATCATCCGCAGCAGTCGCTGTTGCTGCTTTCTTTTGTTCTCAATTACTGAAGCCTCATTCTTCCATTAATTTAAAGCAGCGTTCCTAACACGGTTTTATGTGCACGGACTATTACGTGGATACACAGTAACCTGAGATGGCTATGCTGAATAGTGCATTGCCCATGAACCAGTTATTGCATTTGTTCACTCCGAACTTCCGACCTTCCCCGTATATCTCTTCCTCGTTTGACCAGGATCATGTCGTGTCTGCTCTGCTCCAGTCATCAGCTGCACCAAGGGGTTCTGAGGACGGTTCAGACCAGCGAATGTTTATCTGGAATGCCCCGATGCAGGGAAGACACACTGGTGGCGAATACGGGGCGTCCGCGGGGGGCGTATGGCCAGTCGGGGAAATGGCATGGGGCAGAAATCACTAGAATATATGTCGCTGTATAGCCGCCTACTGGAGAGTGGTATTACACGTGCATTGGTGCACGACTCTAACCATCAGCTAACAGGCCGCCAAGCACGGTCGTCGTGCAGTTAAACGTAAAAACATGCACATTGTAGGGATTCTACCGGCAGGACCACGATAACCGCTATTGCTGGGATGACTTGCCGTTCTCAAGGCGCGCGAAAGACGCCCAGAGGTGTGTGGGATGCTGCAGCTATGAGGCATTGCGATATCGCGAACAGAGGCAACATGGACGTTGTCTACGCGATTTAGTACGTGGGAGGAAGATTGAGGAAAGACCGGTTTGTTGCCGCGTCCAAAGCCTTAGGGACCCCATACACCAGAAAGGCAGAAGCAAAAGCCTGCTTTTCTCGTCAAAGACTATCAGCGGTGGCGTTGTTAAAACCTAAAAGTACTCTAGTGGTCTTGTTGGATAAGTACGCTAGGTGGCGTACTTTCTTTCTGTTTAATCTAGGAGAATAGTTTAGTGCATTAGATTTATCGGGGCAGATGAATCCTGCCAGACAAGGCAGTGTATCTCGAACTTAAGTGGGCAAGGGTGAAACTGTAGAACCCGGACTAGGCCAATGTTGTTTTTACAACTCTTTACCTGATAAAAAAGAACTTAAGCCGTGGCGAACAGTTTGGCTTGCTTTTACTTGAAAATCGCCCGGTGAGAATTCGTTACAAGTATACGTAAGTATTGGTAAATGTTTTCCTGCTTTAATAAACCTGCAGTAACTATGAGTTGAAAAAGACTTCATTACACGTTTCGACAAACCTGTAACTCTGAATTTCAACGTTTGCTGAACGACCAGTATGCGACAGGCTCTTTGAACATCAGCCTTCACACACCACTGCACAAAACTGATCCGGCATTGCCAACGTAAACATCACTTCAAGCGCATCGTGCCCTTACTTGCCCACAGAACGTAGGAAATCGACTTGATGTTCTATAGCGGATTGGCACACGTGAACACGCATCGGTTAGTATTAAACAGATTGGACCTGCATGGTCAGCAAAGTGGCAATTTAGATGGCCATTTTATTGAGTTCAAAACAGTCCAATGCAAGACACATGGCCTAGGACTGACTAAAACCAAGTAGAAAACTGTCAAGTTAAAGAAACAAACCACTAGTTACCTTGCGATGCGCAACGAAGCGTCAGTAGTGATGAAAAAGTGGCCAGGGAACGACGTAAATAGTCAGCAAAACTCAAAATTCTTACGTTAAGAGCGAAACAATGTATTTTCTCATAAATTCTATACGAAGCAAGGTCGCAGGCATCAAGCTCTGTGGCGATACGCACTTTTTTCGGATGAATTAGGAAAATTTGAAAGTCACGATGTTATTTTGGCCGGTATTATGTCTTAGGAGCACGGAACATAATTTAGACGAAGCGCCTTATTGACCTATTGAACCTAAACTGTCTCCTTAATTATTGATATGCAATTTATATAGGTTATACTCTTTAAATACCCTAAACTGGTTTTATCATTGCGAAAGACGGGTGGAACGTTCAGTCATTCTGTTTTTCATTTTAGAAGCTTGACTCACCTATGTTAGTTATAGTGTGCGATTTCTATCTAAAAATCAGTCATCGCTAACCAATACCTATACTAGCTTGAGTTCATGGCACACTTATAAAAAGCTGATGGTCTGTTTGTAACGATCAAATACACTGTGCAGGATGCACCATCTGCATATATTATTATTTATTTAGTTCGATATCTCTCGTCTTCCATATAATAAATTAACTGGTTATTTTGATGCGGTTTTTACAAGGTCTTGACTGCATAGTGTCGCTGTACCTGCACACCCGTATCACTTAGCATAATCAAAATTTTTAGCGTTTTGTACGGCCGCTATGGTGACCAATCACTATACGCCCAATACTACGCTAAATACGCCCACTGAAACATGAGTGTACATGATGGTCCTTCTTGTACACGTGCCTATACACACAGTTTTAAGTTCTATAATATAACAACAATATAAATAGAACATACACGTATTTTTGCGCGCGGCAGCACGGTTAACATTAGGACGCCATACGCGGACCTTGTCTCCCTTTTTATAAAGGTTATATTGTTTTGCACAGTTTTGTCAGTCGGGTTACGCGAACACCCACTTTCTCTATCTCTCCATATATATATCCTTCATGATGGGTTGCACCAGCCAATATTTGTTTCACGAAATCTCTCGATCAGTTAAGTTCGTTGGCACACATTAGCTATGGCCCTAGCCAGGGAGCAAAGTCGGTACCCGCTTTCGTGTTACTTTGTAATCGTGGTGCACCTTGTACTCCTGATTACCCACGACGATGACTTTGACGACAACGGTAACCGACCGTCAGCATTTTTCGTCTACGTACATCCGCTTACATTGTACTTATCTCGCTCTTACGTCTAATTGTGGTGGTGTCTCTGCTGTTGTTGCTACCAAGGCGTGTCGTCATCGCTCATAGGGAATCGCTGCGCAATGAGGCTGACGCCCAGGGGCAAACTACGAGAGGGGCTATCAGCGAGAGAGCGAAGTGATGAGTAAGCAACTAACTGCCGTGACGTCTCATGACATGAAATGGCGTTGGTCTCTGGCCGAGCATGTCCCAGTTTTTCTTATGGCAAGTATGTCAAACGGATGCAGTATACTTTGGTAATTAGTTTCATGGCACCAGTGTCCCTACAATGGCAGAAAAGGGTATGTTATCGTGCATTCTTTGTAACATGTCTTACCACAGTCGCGCACAGTAAAGCGTACAACAGTGTTCGTGTAAATTAATTAATAACGGATAACCTTCAGCAGCAAGCAAGGGACATGATCGGTGCGAGCGCCTATGGATGGGTTTTCCGGCCGCCTGTATTTTGCATAGAGGCTGGAAAGGGACAGGGGAGGGGGGGGGGAGAGGGAGCGTGAAATAGGGTTCACTAGGCTGCGATGCGTGCTAGGTTGGGCAGGTTGGGAATACTGACGAGGAGAATTCGAAGCACTACGGTCACTATTGGACATAGGTAGTGAGTGGACGGAACAGCACTTGCTTCTAACCGTTAATATTGTCCAGCCGTTAAGGGTTATCCAGTAAGGGAGACAATGACACAAGATGGACTTCCTTCGTGTACGCTACATAACATCAGTAACGATCTGTGGGCGGTGCGTTTTCTACTCAGAAAGTATTTGTGGAGAAGCAAAAAAACTCTTTGAAAAGAACCTCCAAAGAGTAGCGAGCTAAAGAATCAGCTTAATTTACCTCTATTATTGCTCGTCTTTTTTGTGGCCTTTCCTTCCGCTATCGTTAACATTCCACGTAGAAATACCCGTATCGCTAGTATGGCTAATAGAAGTACCCCCGCATCAGTACTACCTGCTGATACTCACATTGGGTCGCTAATGAATCGCATACAGTTGTACATTGTGTCGTTCAAGACCCGCTTAGCGTCCGGAGACCGTGCCGTAAGCCTATGTGTAACCGGTTGGTTATCTACTGTGGGAACCTGCTACCTCGGCTTCGCTTATTGGCCTCATATTATGCTCGTTACTTGTATTTACAATCTGAGGAGGGGGGGGGGGGTACTCGCTTGGACATTGTATGCCGTCAAACGAGATATCATTCAACCGTTTATACTCGAGTGATGAAATATAGAAACACATTTTTTTTGGTAAAACGTTCATGCAAAAAAAATTATATATATATATATATATACTTCTACTACACTTCTGATTGAAATACGGCAATATGACGGCATAAATTAAGCGTAAGAATATGCATGTTTCATTGTTAAACTGATAATTTTTGGGACCTGCGAGTGAAAGAAAGGGCCAGGCGTATATGCGTGCGTATATATATATATATATATGTATATATATATAGCACCATATCGAGTTGTCCATATTTGCTGAGCTAATGCGGCAACGTAGATATATATAAAGTATTATTAGATTATCTATGTTATAAAAAGTATTCTAATGTTATTTCTTCAATCGAAGTTCTTTTATAATTGAGGTTCCAATCGCCAGCCCAAAAACTGACGACCAAAATGCGTTAAACAGCGACTATGTATTTGACGATCTTAGGTCTCGTGCTTTCGCCTATGAACCACGATATTATATGATACACGATATGAACACGGCCTAACTCGCGGTAGGTTTTGCCGGCTGGTTATCCTTAAGGAAAAGTCAATGGAGTCACAAAAGGACGCCAAGTTCTCCATCATATGAAAATTTAATTACAGTGACAAGTGAACTTAATAATTGTTAGTGACGGAACACAGCGACCATTACAGAGACTATAACTACAGCAATAATCGTTAGCCTTCTCATCTATTCTATTACATATAAAACTATATTGTATCTTGATGCGCCTTAACCGCATACATATATATACACGTATATACATGGCATGCACAGCACGTTTCCGTGCAACTATTCTCGTGCTTATCGCAATTAACTGATACAATTATCATCATACTTCAAAATTTCCCTTTAATTGTATTGATCTGAAAATAGTTCGTTCCTCTAAGCTCTGACTGGATATACACCGATGAATTTTGTGTCTTTCTTAGTATTCTTTGCTATCGGTCGAGCTCCTCTTAAAAAAAAAAGTTTACTTATACGGGCTTAAGCAAACTACCTTCTGATTTTCTGTTTTTACGCCCCCCGTAGTAGAAAAGGTGAACGCCCCATTGGGCGTTCACCTTTTCTACTACGTCACTGCTTCCAGTTTTCAAGATAGTTTTTATGATATTTTCGCACTTTCGTTTTGCACGCACCCCGGACCCTTTGGGTATTTTGGATAGTTTCAAATTCGCTTGGCAGAAGCGGACTCACAGTGCCAACTTATCAATAAATGATCAACTATATTTTATCATTAAACTAAGCCATACCACCATATTGTGTGCTTTAAAGCTGGCGTCCATTAGACAGAAAATACGTCCGTATGCAATAAAGCGGCCTGGCAAGGATAACTAGCCGTTACAAATTAACATCGATCATTTTTGCTCACAACCTCAAACAACAGTTCCTCCCTAACCGTTCATCAACGACAGTATCAACTCCTACCTTTATTTTTATCGCGTCGATTCAGTAGCGACTACTTTACTTCGTGTACTCATATTGATGAAGGTCCGCGCCGATTACGTCTATCGGCGTAAGTTCCCGTTGCAGCGTTTGGGATTTTTGGCCTTCTGTAATTGATAATGATAGTTCGAGCAGATCTTGATAGAGTAGCCTTTGCTATTCCGTTGCCCAATTACGAGGCCCAACTACAGAATTTTAACCAGCTGTTCTATTCAAGTTATGGCTTGTACGCAATAATAACATTTTAATCTGATTTGAGTGGACGATTTTTTTTTTTAGTGATATATGATTGCGGTTATCACCAAATGGCGTTCTCTTGTATCTAATCTGTAAAATACAGATTATAGTCAAGCTTAAAATGCAATAATTCAGAAATTACCGGTTAACTTCGACCAGGCGATCAAAGCCTATTTGTGTTAAAATGTTCACGCCGGCTTTCGTGTCCCATTTTGTTTCTCGGTTTGCCTCTTCACGCGTTAGAAGTAAGGCGGACACATGTGTGCTTTATGCCCGTTTATAGCAAAGCATTACATTACAAATGGACACGATGAGATCTCTCGTCCCATAGGCAGAGCGCCTAAATCCAATATGCCCACGACGTACATCCTCACCAAGATTCACACTTGAAAAGAACTTTACAATAGCATCAGTCGTGACTTATATACGGGAAAAGGGAAGGGATAATCATGGACGTCGGACAAATGCAAGCTAGTTAAAGTTTAGGGTTTAGCGTTAAATCAATTTGTCTAGGCTTACCGGCCAATCGGTAAGAAATAATCCATGACTTCGTATCCAGTACGTAAGACATGTTCAACTTATTCCAGCAAACGAGCAAACAATATTTCATTAATGCGCTCTTTTTATGTCGCTTAGATTGGCCTAATCCATTTGTGTGCCACACAGCGTCAATATATTATATCCTACATTCGTTGTTAGCTTTTTCTGTCGGACGAAGACACAATTACGAATCGATAGTAAGTGTATTTTCTTGTTTACAACTTGGGATGCTTGGTCAAAAAAGTTGGCGCGTGACAACGTAGCACTCGAAACCGCCTCATCTAGAAGTCGGTAGACTTCGGAAAACAGATACTCTAATATGGACGCCGCCTGAGCTGCAGTCCAGTGTCAGAGCTCTCGGGCTGGCGCTGTCGCTGTCAACCCCATCATTACGTGGTCTCTGTAAGAACTGTCATTTATATTCCATGCTACGGACGCCCCTTCATTTGGTCGAGACCTTCTCTTTGAAAGCGAATGGGGGAAGTAGGTCGATTTGCCGAACGATTACTTCAGAGTAGCCAAAAGGACTCACCAAATTCACAGCTACTTTGCGATATGTCTGTTGTGTAGATCAGTCCATACTGGTCAGTTAACAAGCTGCTCTGTTGTAGTATTGCTAATGTTTTGCTCAGTCTTTTAGGTCTCAATGAATTGTTTGCTTAAGACGATGCAACCACGGCGGTCGCTGTGTACGTTCTGACCTAATCCCAGACATTACATTGACTTTTAGCTACTGACTGTTTATACGAAATAGACAAAAAGTTCAATAATAACGTAACAACAGCTTTCTAATACAACTTTATGTCGAATCAATTAAACTTAGCTCGCATTAGAAGTGAACGATTGTTAAGGGAATATTGATCTGTGGTTCAGAGCCACATGACGCAGTCCATCTTCATTTGGCCAACGCCTGGGACTCGGTCATCAAATGAAAAAAAAAACAAAATGAAAGCCACGTGGACAGACTTTGATAAAATCTGTTGTGGGAAGTTGATCTTGCCAGACAAGTGGAATTGCCAAAAACTTTGGACTTGAATGATTTCCACCCGTCTTCTCTTTGAGCGTGTTTCGAGTGCAGGAAACTTCATGCATATAGATAAACATAACGTTGGAAGTACACAATCCCACAGCCGATGGTAGACAAACAAATTCAAGCTTTTCTTAAAACCAGCCAAGAGTTTAAGTAAACAGTTGCATTTGTAACTTGTGTTGCGCACAATACAAACTTACTGTAGACTAGATTTCCGTTAGTAGTTTGTTTTAGAAAAACTACTACTAGTAAGTTACATGCGGTTCCAGCATGTCCAGCTTCGTTTCGATTTCGAAGCAGTTGTCTCACAAGTTCGAAGTTATGCGTTCTGCGATGTGGCCAGTGACAACCGGAAGCCGAATTAACTAAGCTTCACTCCATTATCTAACACACGCGTCCCCACCAGCTTGAATATCCATGCCATCTAATACTACGATAAACAGTGGAGATCTCTCAGTATTGTATAATCGTATAGTATGTGCGGCTGCAAAGAGAATAGGCGTCAACATAGTTCAAGGCATTAGCGTTCATGAGGTCCGCATGGTATAATAGTAGTACCTGCTCCTTGCGCCCAGTGATGTCAGACCAATATTGGCGAGGCGCAGGAATAGCGTGACTGGATAAAATCTATCAGCCAATCCAAAAAGAATCTCAACAAATCTTCTCTTTTTTGTGTCTCGATGCGTACATTACTGGTGAACGACGGGTCTGGGTCATCTTTAAAACGACAGTCGTAGCTCTGTCCACGGAAGCTCCCGGGCCTAACGATAGTGATTCGTAGAACTCTGTACCTGTTTGCTGCTAATGCTACTTTCGTGTTTTTTTTTTTAAAATACAACAAATAGGGCTGGATTGAATGCGGACCAAAATGCAGAGGCAGATGGGGATAAAAGGAGAAGATTACTTAATTCGTTTGTTTGTTCGAACTAAACGGTGGTCGGTTTCCCCACTGCTTGATTCGCAATGGCAGTAGGAACATTCCTTGATGTACACATAAATTAGAATGTAATTTATATTTACGTATTTTTTACGTTATATATATATATATATATATATACTTTTTTTTTTCTGTAACGTAAGGAACATTACTTAGTTCGCAGCTGAGGAATGCTTGTATCTTCCAGCTACTCTAATAGTATCGTGTCTATTTTTCACACTATCAATATAGGTAATATAGAATTTCTGAAATTTTGATAGTTATACGTATCAGTCGGAAATGGGTCTGAGTATTAATTTGTCCATGTCCCTGATAATTAAGTCCATTTCAGGACCTACGCATTTAGCCTTCATGTACTCTTTGTAGCGCGTGAATGTAAAAAAATGGGGGGATCTTGGCAGAATATTTTAATATAAATATATTCACATATGTACTCTTCAGTAAGAATGCGAATGGAAAATATGCGATGTTAGATAGGGAATTTTCCCAGAAAACCATCGCTCGTAGATATTTCAATTCAATTAAACTTAATTAATTTCATTTGTAAGCCTTTTTTAATATAGATTTTTTATATTAATTTTAGTTTGAAATTCTCAAGTTAAAATGTCTATGTCATGATTTTGTACCTATGGTAAAAACAAATACACATGGCTTAATTGTACACGGCGCAAGAAAAGGCTCATTCTTTTCCTTTTTCAAATATCAGCTATCGACTTATCTAAAAGACCTGCCACTCAAACGTGTCGTGGCAGACTTCCTTCAATTTAGCTTCTGAAAGCCCTCATACGGATGCTAAGAAATCTTGGCATGTACATCGTCAGACGAAAAATACATTAACTTCTGCTCATTTCGTTCGCGATGGTATCGTATATATAGTACATACTCCTGTTCTACTGTCTGGCCATTAAAAGTTCTTGTAAAACTGCACATGTGTTTAGGATGGCCTGATCCCATCTGTTCATTGGTGATCGGTTTCAAACCAGTTACCTTTTGATAATACGTTACATAGCAGGTCAGGAGTGAATTTTGAAATCTACATCGTCGAATGCCGCTAAATTGTATCACGATTAATGCGTCAGGCACGCCTTGTATTTTGTGATTGTTACAGAGAACGAACACAGAAACAGACGTGCGAAAATTAAGAATGATTACGGCTGCTTTTGTACGGTTTATCATAATATAACTGAATATGTCGCGTCATTTTTTATGTCAACTCATACTATGTTAAAGGCATCTGTTTAAGATCGAATAGACAATGTAATATATGTAAAAATACCGTACTCTACCAATCTACCTTACTTCAAGCGTACTAACTTAAGCAACACTCATTAAATTTGAATCCTCTTTTCGTTTCTCCTCTCCCTATACTTCATATGTTCATTCCTCCTTGCCACATATCATGAACACCACTTACTGAATGTCTTTCTTCAAAAGGCTAATATAGCGTTCCGCGCCGTCTGCTGCCAAGTTTCTTCCGGTCTCTTGATCCCCGCGCCAGACGAATTTTAGAGAAAGATTTCTGCTAGCAGACGCTAGCACAACAACCGCAATAACAGCAAGAACAGACTGCGGTAAGAAATAGAGCTAGCAGTACAAACAAGAGATGTAAAGGGCAGGCGCCACTCTGTTCACTCAGTCACGGCTTAGTACTTTTTTACGCAGTCGTTTGTAGTATCATTGTCGTCTGGCAACGACGACAGGCTTTCATCTAACGGAACCTTTGGCAAAATCCCGACGTTCTTCCAGTTGAGTTGGTACTGCCCGACCACCGGCAGGCACTCGGTTAACTCGATTACAGTTCGACTTCTGCCGCTCTAAGAGACGCAAACCCTAAACCAAAACTATTACGAAGTTAACGGCCGCAGCATCCGGGCAGGCTGAGGAATGCTGCTTGCCTACGACAAACCGGTCAGAATTATGTAGCTGCAGACGGCCAATTGGCTGGCTGTGTGCTCGTCGAACATCGATAAGGGGATGTTTTCAAAAAGAGAAGCAGTGAGGCAGGGGGGTACGTACTCTTTTGTCGTCTGTTGGCTGTGTGAAGTACACAAAATCAGGGATAAACAAGGGCGGAACCAATGGGCGGATGAAACAGACTTTCGAAATAAGCGAGAGCCCCGGTGTGCCTCAGGAACAATCTGCAGTAACCATGTTATTCTGACTATAAAGCGGCTCGTTACTATTAAAATCGTGGGCCAGCGCTGTGTGTCATCGAAAACGCAACAGCGCTAAATTGCCAATGATTTCAGATAGCAGAAGGTTGCTGGCGTCAGATAACTCTAACGTATGACACGAAATTGGGCTGATCCCGATACTCGGATGACGATTCTCACGTCAGCGGTTTTCGTCCTCCTTTGATGAACGTTTTAGTCGTTCGGTTTATACGACTTACTTATAAACGGAAAAGCTATTAGGAAACGTAAATACCTAGCGTTTTTTAAAAAATAAATAATTCCATCTTTATCTGTAACCGCAGCTCACAACAGTGCGTTTGTTGCATTGTGGAAGCTCGGAATTGTATGTTCTTATGAATAGTACAGTAAAGGAATAACGACAAAATCTCCCTTAACCGTTTTAGAAATGCGCCTTTTTTCTTTCTTGCCACAAGCCCTGGATGAAAGTCAGCGGATGGTAAAGAAAGACTCCGATAGACATCTATCTTCGTTCGATTTTCAACGACAACAACCTGGCTGATTATCGGTTGGAAGGCGATTGAACGCAAGCTTTACATCTATGTCGAACTCTGTCGTGCTAAATGCGGTAATCACGAACAAAGACCTGTGATCCACTACATCGAACTAATTTATTCCTAGGAAAGGCTTTACCACTTTGTTTTTATTTGAAAAAAGTTGTAAGTCAATAACGTTTGCATAAACTAAATTGGGACTCGATGGAAATAGATGAAGGGAGCAAATTTGATGGCTTCGTAGACCGGTACTACTATCTAAATATCTCTATAATTGTTTAATTTACAGTGGTACAATAATTCATTAGATTTTTGCTACTGGGTAAATTATGATTTTAGCAGGGACGTAATCTGGGTAAAAGTTGTTGGCCAGGCGTTTTCATCATCTCAGGATCGTTCACATACACTACGGTAATAGAGGAGAACTGTCATCAACCCGTTGTTTCACTCGTATTTCACTCGAGAATTCCTGATCGTTTAGTGGACGATTTCAGCTGGAGTTTTTTCTTCTTAACCTCAATGAAATGATATAATGAGGTCACATCAGCGTCGTCTGCCGGTCAACAAGCCTTACTCTGACATAGTGACCTCGATCTTTACCTTTTGATACGTGATTACACGAGCCTGTGTTCATGGACACGATGTAGCCAGCTGTCCCAGTATTTGTAAAAAGTAATTATTAAAGCATAGCGAGTATAAGTTAGCTGAAAAGAAGTTATAATCATTTATTTAAACTGCGTTCGTCGTTCACTGAACGAAAATAGCTAGCAAATAAGTGAGCTGTATAATTGTTTGTTGTTGGTACATACACCATCATGACTTCATCGAGTGTTCCATGGAAGCTCTCATCGTTGTTATTCTGTGTCCTTTCCTTCGTCATGTATGACTTCATGCCAGATTTGGGAATTCTGCTAAATTCTAGTGAGCAGTAATTTTCCAACAAGAATTAGTGGTTCAAAACGTTTTGCGGATTTGGTTAGAGTCGGGAAGTTCCAGTTCGATCCTGCATATCGACGATGCCACCCTTTACAGGGGTTTTACTAAAAGCTTCCAACAACAGACTGCTCCTACACTTCCGGACGACCGTTTTTCCCATAGTTACCAATTCTATTACCTTTCAGTCGAAATACTTATGTTCAGCAAATTTGTTATACAATTACACTCATCTTTCGAACGATTTGGACAAGGATCCTTAAAAACGAGCCTTGTCGATGAAACCTAATTTATCACAATTGCAGTGCTGTTATCACAAATCATGTAGCTGCATAACAAAATACATTAAGTACTATCTCCTTGTACTCTAAATAGTGCGCAGACAGTGTACCGCTTAATAAGAGTTAATTAGCCATGTTGTTGTTAGTAGTTTCACGGCTGGTTGATGCTCCGTGTATCGTGATGACCAGAACAAGGCCGGACAAAAGGCCGCTAGTAAACTAAAGCAAGAACTGGCACGTGCAACTTAAAAAGCAGCAACGAACATAAAAATTAAATTTACTACTGTTTGCTTTTGGTTTTATTTACTGCCTTCCATAAATGCCCAAAAAAAAACACCGATGAACTGCTGCGATAAATGTTAGGCTGTTGCAAGCGAACCCGGCCCACTTTGCCGGCGCACCGGAACAACTTTTGAATTACGCGCCGGTTAGCGAACGAAGTTCGGCTGATAAATACTTGAGTCTTTTAGAAGCGTGTAAGTAAAAGTACTTGTTTTTACTTCACAAGAAATGGATTCAGAATATGAAACAGCATTGAAATAGAGACAACGGAGTGTAGGGTGTTAAGGACCAGCGAGAAGGTGCTGGGATGTCGAGAAGAACTAGTTGTCGCAATCGAGAGGGTTTTGAGCTTCCAAGAAGAGTGTAGAGTCGAAGGGCTTTGTCGGTCAGAACTGACATGTAACCTGTTACAGGATTCTGACCTAAATAGTAAAAATGTGGAAACTCAGTAGAGAACGGATCCCCAATGAATTGACTTTGATGCCTAAAGTGTACTTCACATACGATGTGCGGAACTAATTGATAAAAACCCCCTTAGAATCTACGGTCACCATAGACGAAATATGGTTCAATTTTTTCTGCCGGCTGGAGAGGTATTCAACGAGAGAATAGCGTCGCCCAGGTGAGAAATCGTGTTCAGTGATAGGTAGTATCGAGTAAGTTCGGATGTAGGGTGATAATGGTACAAATTGCAATGGGCACAAGGGGCATTTGTTACTATGAAATATTAGCCGAAAATTAAATAGTGGATGTATTTCGCTATCTCGAGTTCCCCAGTCCACTCATAAACTGCTGGCACGGCAATCCGAAGTACACACTCTTGCTACTTGATATTTTATGTCCTGGATTGAGCAAAGAAATAACCAACGGTGGCTTTAACTCGCTTATCTTTTCAAAAACGAAATTCGCGCGACTACGGGGCTTTCTATACCTAAAAGGGAAACCGGGTAGGAAAGCATGTCAACTCTATGTAAAACATAAAGGAAAATATCTCTCGCATATCGTAAAAATCATCACTGTAGTCCGACCAATTCAATGGTTAAGTTCCAAAGTTTGTCCGATCTGTTTGTAACAGCCTAATACATTTTTGGAGTACCCTATATACACACATATATATATATATATATTATATACACATATATATTATATATATATATGTATATATATATGTGTAATTGATATGAAAATGAAGTTCATCGCAATTAACGTAACGTATTAACCGAGGATATCAACGGAATCAAAAGGTGGCTGATGCTTTTAACCTAATAGAGGTCATAGACATTTTAGACGCCGAAGTTTTTGATGAAGTTTATTATAAAATACGACGTAAGTTCTATCTGGGAGAATGTTTTTCCTGGAATATCCAACGTTTTCTTCGATTTGCTTATTCTTTTGATATAAGTCCATGTGATTACGGGACCCTCTATGCTCTAAAGAGGGCAACTGGTGGACAAGCGTTTCTGCTATCCATTTATTTCGAGAAGCCGTGGATAGAGAAATTAGATGTGGAAAGGAGAATGGAAAGTATAGGGCTGTCCATAAGCTGCCAGCGCTTGCACAAGAATGTAAAAATAAAGGAGAGTATTTCTATTAATTAAAGTCATCATTCTAGCCAAAGCTGATTTAGAAGTTATTCAGTTTCAGTTTCAAAGTCCGCTGGATTCGTTTGTAGCAGTCTAATGTAATCTTCGAGAAGAAGTTAACCAAATTGACTGGACTACTCATCTCTCATGAGTGTCTCAAGCAGACAGCTACAGGCAGCATATCATATGTACTTAAATATTGTTTTAGATCAAAACCAATAGCCCTCGATAGCTTTTTCTGTTCTCAACTCCAATCAAAAGCCTGTTTTGCTGTACTACGGAACAATAAAATGCTGCACGGCCAGCCAAGGGACAGCGGGTGCCCTGTCTGCCTGCCTGCCTGGCTTCCACTCACAACACAAAAGCATCTGCTGCCTGATGCGTGGCCATGATTTTACTACGATCGAAGGTATCGTCCTGGCCTACGTCTATGATAAGGGTATCATGTAGTTTTATGCTAGAAGCCCATTAGGGCGCACCGTCGGCACGTACCACCCATGAACTGTTCGTTCGTTAAAGCTTCGTTGATCTCGGCAAGGTGGAAACAAGGCAGGCTTGACACAGAAACAGGCTCATAGGGGCGCACACGGGCAGACTAGTTAGTGATAGAGCTGCCACTACGCAACCACTAGGCCACAACGCAGCCAGCAAACCGGCAGGTCCAGCATCGAAAACAAGTCGAACCAATTGTGCGCCAGTTCCTTCATGCACTGTGAGCTAACGACACTACGCTGCTTCAACCTCGTGGTCCATGGATTGCTGCTATAGGATACTGAAGGTCCGGATAGTCCGAGAACGACAAAATCAACCAGAAGGAACAGGCGACGCTAGAATCAACCGTAGTCTATTGCGTGGCAAAGAAATGCCCCCGTGCAACGGCTATGTCGCCTTAGACCGAAAAGGTCGACAGGTCAGGGTAAAAAAAAGAAATCGGGACGATAAATGGCAGGCACCGAAGTGTTTAGGGAACCTAACAAATTTACTGAACCCGAGTAGAACCTGTAATTGTGCTAGGCCTGCTTCGTAGGTAGCGCCGGTGGGTAGCGTTCCGTATCCTAACATCACGACTAAACCATCTTGATTTTATCCCCTCTCGCAGACAACTTGATTTCCGCATATGGTTCGGGCCAGAGCTAAACATACAGCACGTGATTAAGCATTCGTACAGCTTTCAGTGCACGATACCAGGTAAGCGTAGGATTCTACACATTGAGCCTATTGGTGTGGTGAGGTTGTACTGCGTCAGCTAAAATAACAACAGCTAAAAGAAAGCACACTACCACGACACCCTCACAAGTTCTTGGATAAAATCGGAAACAATTGGTCCACGAATTTGGTCTGAGGATTAAAGTATACATACACTAGGTGTAACGTGATTTCAGCGCAAAAATTCGAGAGCGCTCACTGATGTATCATATATTGATATATTGTACGCAAAAGTAGAAGGAAAGGAAGACCTAGGCAAAAAAATGCTGAAATAGGAAAAAAGTAGAATTATATTGAAATAGGCAGTGTGACAACTATAGTAATACCGTAATATCATAAAAGCAATAATAACACAATTGTAAATAAATAAAGTATTAATACATCAGATAGATAACTAAAAATAGAATCATTCTCGGCTAATCACTAACGTATATATATCTAGACATTTGCGTTGGGTCGAACCAATAGGGAACATTAGTAGCAGCTCAACATGGTCCGTAGTCGACAGCTCTACATAGACGCACACCATTATACAGCACAACATATATGGCTTTTCCATAACAGAACTATAGAACCAGCCCAGATTGGTGCACTGAGCAGATCCTACCGAAAGAGAGCACTATACGCGTATCTCTGTAATAATCTGTCTTGTAGGTGGATAAACTCTTTGTAGGACCAGGCCAACTTGTCGTTCTACATTTACAGGGCTCTTTGTTGGCCACGTTTATCGGACCTAAAGCTTTTAAGTTAAGTTCCAAATATTAAAAGGGTCTACTTGCGAAGTTCTACTTGGCCCCGATAGTGTGATGAAATCCTACGAAACTGTTCAGCGATCTATATGACATGTTTGGGAAAGTAGGTTGATCCGGCTACGCGTGTCTGTAGTAGTCGTTGCTAGCATCGGTACTCATAGATGAGTATTTCGAGTGCATACAGTTTAGCTACAATATGCTTATAATAAAATTGCTAGCTTTAAGGAACAAGAATATACAATACGATTACGTCGTCTTAGTAAACGTCATAACTTCTCAGTTGTTGTGTAGGATAGCATCGTACGTCGTACGACGAATCGGTTATTTTGTAAAGGTGAAACACTGCCTTACTTAATGGTAGAAATGTCTATATGTGTATGTTGAACTAAATCCTAGGGTTCTTTTCGGAGCCTTTAGATCTGACCTCTCTCTGGCCTAATCGAGTTTATACCGCACATCAAACGATACATAAAGATTCGTGTGTATTTCTTTTGCCGTTGCCGGTAATGTAGCCTCCACCTCTTTTTCTAAGTATGCAAGTAAAGCCTTGTCTCAATATTTTAAAACTTAGGAAGATTTTTAGAAACATTTTAGCAGACTATTTCGATTTATTTATTGCCTCCTCTGGTAACCATTAAACAAACGTAAGATTCTTCAATTTGATTTCGACGGTCCTTTGATCTCTGAGTAAGCTCTGCTAACAAGGGCGATTATGCACTGTGAAATAAGAATCACAGTTGCCAACTATGAAAAAGCCATTGGAGTCATTGTCCTCTTTTTTTAGCAGCAGATCTTACTGGCAGTTTTGTGAAGGACGGGATGACTGCGGTGGTCCCAATGGTCGAACGCATGGAAGGCTACGGTCTTGATACGTCGGCCGCTCAGCCACGGATGTTGACTGAAAATTATAGTCTACTATTTCAAAATTGTGATCACGAGCTCTTATATCTGGCGCAATAATTTAAGTTAGCTCTTACATATCAGTTTCCTCTCTTACATATCAGTTTCCTTGAAAGCCAAATGACTCAAAAAGTCATATACTTTTTTCATCTCTTCATGCTGTGATACAGGGCGCTGATGTCTATGGCCATTAATAAGCCTGTGTGGGGAACCTAATTAACGCAATTTTGGCCGTGGATCCCGCACCACCTACTGGGTTGCATTGGAGAACTACTTCGATAGGCGCTTCAGTTAAAAGGTACTTTGATTATAATTAAAATAAGATATTTTTATTCGTTTTTTGGCTATATTCCTGCAAATCATCTCGATCGATATCTTTATTTTCTCTTTGCTTGACTATTTGAAGTTTGGTTTGATTAAATTTAAGTTTTGTAGCTTTAGTGGTTGTTATGGCAATTATTATTAGATCGCTTATGCAATGGATCAAGAATGTTACACATTTATTTTTATTTAACAACAACACATAGCGACATAAACACATAGTTAAACACAAGTGTTCAGTACTACGTTCCGCCCATATCCGATATGGGTTCGGGTATATTGCTAGTAATAATAGCCAATCTATAATACACACACATACAGCAAATTTGACGTTAATTTCATAACGAATGCTTATAGGTAAGACTGTTTTCGGATACAAATACAACTACAATGCAAATACACTAAGATGAGACATTGACAGACAACTGTTGAACCAACTAAGACGCCTTTCGAAAACGTTGTCCTCTGCCAGGAGTCCCAATGAATGTATCGCGTCATACGACAAGCAAGGGATGGGGTTTTCCTCTTATCGTTCTATTTCCGGTCTCCGTGTTGCTTTAAATGACACGCTTTGCAATACTAGTCCACCAGTCAGTACGGAAGCTACTCGGCAAAAGAAGCACAACTATTTTTTACACCTCCCTTTCTATCAATGGAACGTAAGCAGGAAATCAAGATTTTTAAATATACCTTCCCCTTTTGAAAGAAACTTTTTGGCGTGTCTCTGAGTGCAGCCTTCCAGCTGAAGGTTTTGTATTTCACTAGGACTATTACTACTAAAAACTTTCGATTTTTATGTCCAGTGGCGCCGTAAAGTTTTCCATCAGACCGCTAGCGAACGAAACGAACCGTTTATCCACGTCCGAATTCGAGGTTAGTCCAGAATGAGCCTTCCAAATTAAGCAGCCATATACGACATCCACCAGACCATCACAGAGGCTAGCACTGATACAACTATAACTACTATTAAATAGAATAGAACAGAACTAGAACTGCGACGATGATTCTCTAAGTTTTGTTGCTCTACCATCGTCCGCATGATCCTTGATTATCAGTCACTGGGTTGATGAAATCAACCTGGCACCTAATGCTCCTGTTCGCCATATGTTCGCTGCTGTCGGCTGGCTATTCGGTTGCATAGCTTCGAAAAATGAAGTTGCACGTCTGAATCATTAAGTCCTTTAGGGGGAGTGCAAAAGCTCCAGGTCGAATGTCTCTGCGGTCTCCGCTCGAAACCTGGACCACATTCCTGGGCTTGCTCGATGTAGCGAACAGTGGCTACTCGCCAAAGGCCACCACCGTTGCAGGACTTGTGCGCTGTTCATCAAATGGCTCTCATGAGGGAGGCCTCCCCTAAGCTGTTCGGGAGCAGAAGCCAGGATTTAACGGGGATGACCCTTTAAGATTCGTCCTTCTCGCCATCTTGTCTAGCGTATCCGCAGAGAACGGTTACAGCTAACCCGTTTCGAAGTTTAGGCACCGTTTGCAAACGAGTGCAACTAGGTGGAGACGAGGTGTCCCGTGAATCTTTATAATATTTTAAGACGTAGGGATCATTATTGCGTCGCTTGGACGGTGGAGCACTTTGGGTCAGACGCGAAATGCCAATCGATCTCTAGCAATGACGCTCGTATGTAAACGACGTTTTAATGATGAGTATGCACTAATATGTATCGTTATATGAAGAGTGCTTCGAGAGGTGGCGCAAAGACAAAGCCTATACAAGGATTCTCAGTGGGTACGAGTACTGTTCATTGATAACGAAAGTACTAACAATAGTAGCAGATTTTCATGTAAAAAGTTAGTTTTAGGTAATACTTCCTAGTTACCATCCATCAAATTGTGTCCAAAAAGAAGCATTTCTTTACTACCACTGAAGTCTCGCCGAGATTCCTTTTTCGCTGCAATATGGCTGAAATATCCGTTAAAGTAAGGACAGGTCTTTTAGAAAATTACGCACGTCGAAGGTGGTTCAATATGCGCAGAAGGTGGAATTTTTTTTGGCTCTCTACAGGATTCGTTCTCATTGACCAATTTGTCTATCAAATATCCAGAGTAATTTTTTAGTCTCTTTGTTAGATCAGAAAAATCTGGTGCTAGACGGTATATAGCGCAAAAACTCACTTTGTTTTCTGCGCTCAACATGACCCCTTTTTTAGCAGGATTGAACCCCTACAATTAAACTGAACGTTTCCATTCTCTCTTTTTCCAATTCGTTGACCCTATCCTTTGTCATTTACATGTCGCACTTCTTCAAGCGGGTTCAAGCGACAACTTGGAAGACGGCGTCGGCCCCTAGGCACCTGCTCAGAACTCAGGGCCACGCCGAAGCAGCACAGAGCAGGATGAACGAAGGCCATCATTGCCACAGTATTTCTGCTGATTGTGCCTGCTATAAAATTCACCTCTCACATACTCCAAACATAGAGGGGCGTTCATTGATGATTCAGCCATTGCAGAGACCCGGGCAATTGGATGGCCGAAGACCCTAAGGACCCGCGCACCCGCCTGCAAATGGTGGTCCAGTGGCAGTTTAGAAGCATAGGCCCAAAAACTGGTGCTGCAAAACATCTTATTTGCCCGGGCCTACTTCACCTCACGGGGTATATCTCTGCTCTGTCTAGTATCTCGCATCTAACAGAGACCACTCTCCCACACCACCGACGAACCACGCCATCATCCTTGCGGCTTTCACCAACAGGCCGGACTCGGCAGAGCTTGTAGCAGCAAGGTGCCTTTGCTTGTGAGGCCAAAGTAGTGATTGTCCTTCTTACGCCTTACGCGCCAAACGGCGTTGCTACCACCAAGCTTTTTGGCCCTGAGAAAATCGGAGATTTGGCAAGACACCTTCATTGTCTTACCTTGGTTCGTTCTCAAACCTAGGAGGATAGCTCGCGTTGAGTTCGCCACGAAAGACTAGGAACTGAGACCCACATATGAATACCTGGCACACGCTCAGAGCGACCAAATAACGACTCGGCCAGCAAAGACAAGAACGACAAGGGGTAAGCGTAATAGTGTCAAGTTGTCGTCGTTCACCTGCCATTCAGATCAGCCCGCTGATGTAATCGGTTAGCTTCTAGATATGCTCGATGGGACAAATGATATGCACAGAACTTACTAAGTGCGTGTAACCGATCCATGTCTGTCAAATACTTTTAGAGAAGTTTGCTCCCTTTGACCGTACCACCTAGAGCCCATAAGCTGATCCCAAACGGATCACATATACGTGTTAACGCGCAGGTGTGAGACGCCTATGAAGGCTGGTATTGATCTACGACGTAGAGGGAATAGAACATACAGAAATGAAGATAAGTGGAACAGCGCTCTTGGCTAGTTTTCGCTCGAACTTTAATTATACTAATATATATATATATTATATGCGTAATTGAGTTTTTACATAGTTGATAGCATAATTTTGCAGGCTCACGCTGTAGTGCAATTACGTAAAAGAATACATACACATCTGTTTTTCTATAAATGTGTCTTCTTTTTGACTCGGTAACAAGGCTATAGATATTCGCTAGTTTCTCGTTTATGTGTATATGTGCGCTAGCCGTAAACAAATTTTTGTGACAATCAACCCATTTTTATTAAATAAATGGTTTGTAAAGATGCGTTTGGTTCACTGACGAATCTCAATAATTCAATAATCTGAAACCCGTTAAAGTCGAATTTCGAAATAACGTGGCATCGTTTTAATCACTTAATATTATAGTATACAGCCAACGAGCTAAATGTGCACAAAGCCAGCCACTCAGTAATGCTGGTGCCTGACGCTTGCAGCTTGGTAGTCGGACGAAGGCATCAGGCTTTAAATAACTTGTCTCTATAAACCATAACAACGGCCGATACCAAAATGACCGGCCGCAATCGGGGGGTGGATTGTGTGGCTGGCTGCGGAAGGAGAAGGTTGAGTTGGCCGGAGGTTTTAACAAGCGTTTGTGCTCAGAGCATCACTGAGAGCTTACCTAGAATGTTTCTTATGGCTACTCCAACGGCTCTGGCCAGAGATTATACACATGCTGTGTGCAGCATGAGGGTAGCGCAGGTCCTAAATCCCTATCGATCTACGAAGCTGACTTTCAGTCTCAGGTCCGAAAAAAAGCAAAGAAGGAAATGTGGATATCGTAGCGAAAATTTCGATCGATCCTGCTGTATGAGAATCGCACTTTAAGCCACCTTTATCTGTTACATATATATAGCAGAAAATACACAAGGAGCAAATACACAAATTGTATCTAGAATCATCCTTGACGTAGAGGAACATGGAACCTTTACAGTAGCTCAGCGACGGCCCATTCAGCATAGATATATTTCGTTGTTAGGTTGAAGATCGTCGTTTGAATGCACGTTGTCTTCATAACCCATGGTGAGGAAGAAACTTAGCAACTCACTCTGAACCTGAGACCTGTTTTAGGATTCGTGTACGTAGTAATAATATTAGTAGATAACTACTGCTTTCAGGAAGTGGGCCCTGAGCAGTAAGCTGTAAAAAAAAACTTCTCTTAGTAAGATCGATTGATAATCATTTTATCGCAGGCCACTTTTTATTGGCCCATTGCGAAAATGCTTGCTTAATTATTGGTCCCAAGTCAATCAATATGTAGCCGTAGTCAGTTTCTTCAGTCAGTGTGTCTTCGATTTTGTAACTCCGCTATCCGGGCCTTCCGTCCAATGATGCCATTAAGTATTTCTTGATTTTACGACCGCCAATCAAATACTTAATAAATCCGCTTCGCAGCCGTAAATAAACTAGCTACATTTTGTCAAAATGCGGGTAAGACAACTTCTTGCGCTGATACGTGTATCCTGCGTTGCAAAGGGACAAATGAGGACGTATTTGCCTCTTTATAGCGATCTTGCCCTCCGCTACTGTAGCAGTGTGGCGACCAGGTGCAGAAACTGAATATTTGGATTTTAAAACAAGGACCCAATTAACAATTGGGTCCTGTTTTTAGTATCCTTCTATTCAGT